TCCCTGCCTCATATTCCAATTAAAGTGCCAGGAGTGAAGAACAAAGAAGGAATACTGAAAGTTGCCAAATAAAACCACTAATTTACTTATTAAGACAAAAAAAATCTTAACAGAAGATTTCTCAGCAGAAACTGTCAGGGCCATGAGAGAATTGAATATTGTATTTCATTATTTGTAATAAAATAACTGCCAACCTAGAATACTATATCAAGCAAAGATATTCTTTAAAATTGAACTTGAAATAAAGACCTTTCAAGATAAGTGGAAACAAGAGCAGCCTTCTGTTTCATTTTCCTTCAAGAGTTTGAGGAGTATGGACATTAGATCTCCACTGGAGTTTTTGTGGATTTTAGTAATAAATCTTGTGTCCTGCATTTTTCTTCATTGGTGGGTTTTTCATTACTGCCTCAATTTTATCACATATTATTGGACTGTTCAGAATTTCCACATCTTTCTGGGACAGTTTTAGTAATTCATATATATCTAGAATCTACCCATTTCTTCTGGATTCTTCAATTTATTGGAGTACTTGATTTTGGAAGTATTTGCTAATACTCTGCTGGATTTTTTCATTGTCCATTGTAATTTTGCCTTTTTCATTTTCAATTGTATTGCCATAGGTATTTTGTTTTGTTTCTATTTGTTAAAATTGACTAAATATTTGTCTATTTGGTTTATTCTTTGAAGAACCAGTTCTTGGATTTATTGATTCTTTGTATTATTTTATAGTTTCAGTTTCATTAATTTCCATTTTAATTTTTAAAAATTCTATTAGTACATAGTTGCATCTCACGAAGTTTACATCCCTCTTAAGGAGTAGGTGCATGTGCATAACAATGCTTGATTCTTTTTTTTTGTACCAGGGATCGAACTCAGGACTTTGTGCTTTTGAGGTAGACACTGCCACCACTGAGCTAAATCCCCGGCCCAATGCTTGATTCTTTTTAAAATCCCCTACCCCTTCCCACCCATCTTCCTCCCTCCTTCTCTAAATGCTCTTTCCCCATTTACAGTCTTCTTGTTATTACTGTTAGTTTTACTTCATGTTTATGACATAATGTTTACATTCATTGTGGATATTTGGTACATGTAAGTGACACATCTTAAATCTTTTTACTTCCCTTTCTCCTCCTCCATCCACATTCTCCTGGACTCCTTCCCATTTGCAAAAGATGTATCTCCGTGTTTCCTTCTATCAGTCCTTTATTTTGCTCTTTATTTATACTTTGACCTAACCAAATAAGAGACATCATGTAGTATTTAAGCTTGTGTGTCTGATTTATTTCACTTAACATGATGTTTTCCAGATGTACCCATTTTCCTACAGATGTCTTGAATTCATTCTTCTTTATACCCAAGTAGTATTTTATTATGTATAGAGGCTGCATTTTCTTTATCCATTCACCTGTTGCATACAGCCTGTGCATACAGGCTGCTCCCAGGGTTTGGCTGTTATGAATTGTGCTGTTATAAATATGAGTATGCATGTGTTACTGTAGTATGATGTCTTTAGCTCTTTAGGGAAGATACCTAGATGGGGACTATCTGGGTCAAATAGAATTTCTAGTTTTAGTTCTTTGAAAAATAAATCTCCACCAACAATGGTCCACTCTGATCTTTATATATTTCCTTCTTTTACTAGCTTTGAATTTCTGTCACTTGTTCCCCCCACCCCACCCCCTGAGGCTTTGAGGTACATTATTAGGTTATTTATTTGGACTTGCTCTGTTTTTCTGTCGTTGGCACTTGTAGCTATAAACTTGTCTCTTAGGACGGGCTTCATTGTCCTGTAGGTTCTGGTATGTTATACTGGCATTATCATTTGCTAGGAAATTTTTCATTTCTTTCTGGATTTCTCTGTGACCCATTGGTTATTCAATAGTGTATTGTTTATTTTCCACGTGTTTGCAAGATTTCTGCAGGCGTGTGTGTGTGTGTGTGTGTATGTATGTGTGTTGATTTCTAGTTTTCATTGCTCATAATCTGATACTACACATGGGATAATTTAGTTTTTGCATTTATTCAAGCACACTTTGTGGGCTAGTATATAGTCTCTTTTGGTGAAAGTTCTGTGTGCCTTATGTACTAGCATTGCCTCCCTACTTTATGGCATCTTTGTCCCGACATCTTTGATAGGGATGCCTGCAACAGCATCCTGACCAGTCTCTTCCTTTCCATCTTTGCTCCCTACCGTCTGTTCCCACAATAGTCAGAAGGATGTTCTTAAAACATGTTATTCTTGCATAAAATCCCACAACTTCACAAAACACTTCGAATAAAGATCAAACTCGGAACCCTGGCATGCGAGGTCGTGCACTGTCTTTATCCAACCAGGCTGCTCCCCATCCCTGTCATTCCCATAGGGTACAAGAGCCCTCTATTCCTATATCACCCTGACTCTACCACAAAAATCCCACTTCCGAGTATAGTTGCGTCTGCCCTACTCACCATGATATTCTCATCTGGCTGTGCCTGCACCTAGTAGAATTTTTGTACGGAATTACGGAATGAGTTCAGCACTCTGCTTTTCCCTACGGCATTTCCACTTTACCCAAAGTATCCCAGTTACCTAATCACATATTAATTTCTCAGTGAGCTCTCCGAGTCCCCTTATTACAAACGGACTCATCAAAACATACCCACTCCTTTTAAAATATTCCAAATTCCCCTAATATCAGGGCAACGATTATTTAAATCCACTTCCTCCATAACAAGTTTCGTCCTCCATGAACATCCCCATTCCAGGGTCATTATCCTTAATTCCTCCCCAAACGGCTCTAATCCCCATTCTCTCCGCTTTCCTACAGCCCCAGGGTTACCAAGGCAACGCCAATCCTCCCCATAGGAGCCCAGCCCATAGCCCTGGAAACCAGAAGAGCCCCACCCCGATCCCTGAGGACTCTGGGGTCTAATTCCTTGGACAAGGGGAGCACGGCGGGGGGTGGGGGGCTGTCTACAGAGCTTAGAGTGTAAACATTGCCTCTCATGCCTCTCTCCCCCAGGAACGCAGGGCCCCTGCAGCCCGCACAAACTCGGAGAAGCGGTGAACAACAGATTCTACTGCGCAAGCGCGACAGTGGGCAGCAGCTGGAGTCCTTCCCTGACTGCTACAGCAGGCTTTACAGATAGGCAAGGCTGCTAAATCTCAGTTCTCAGCGCAAGCTCCGTTGTCACCATAGCAACGACGAAGCACGCTGATATACGAGCCTTCCTAGCCAGTCTTCCATTTTTATTCTTTCATTTTTCCGTAACAAGGACCTAGGGGCCTATGCCTCAAAGCGAGAAATAAACTTGGCATCTTTGCTTTCATTTTTAATCTCCTTTATTTCTTTGAAACTCAGATCCCTGCTCAGCTCTGCACATAGGCATCTTAATCACATAAGGAGTGTCTGTAGTGTAAAGTTTATTAGCTCTAAATTTACCTAGATGATCTCATCTCCTTCAAGACTGAGGACACCAAGGTAAAAGTAAATTAAGGATTTGCAGGGACATCAGTTACCAGCCTTCACAGCATTCAGTTCCAGAGCCCCTGGGGATGCCTAAAAGTCCTACATCTGCAGTTATCTTGGACCTTGTCCTAAACCTGCAGTCATATCGGATTCCAGAAAAAGCAGAGCTTCACAGACCACCCTATGGTGAGGTCACTCCCACACGTAGGAGCTATTACCCCGTATCAGAACTAAAACTGCACCACCTCAGCAAGAACAATCATCTCTGGGGAACCCAACCACCTCTCACGCCATATCGAGTCCACCGGAGCTACAAAATCAGGACTGAGCAGATGATCAACCAGACCCCAGTCCAGCACAGAACCCCATAAAATTAGTGTCCTTTGGTTGGCAGGACAGCCTGATCCTCTTTCTCAGAGTTGTGTCCCCTTCAGTTCCTCATCTGATGCCTTTCCTCTCTTGTGTTAAGGGGACAGCTCTATCTTCTTCACAGCTGTGAGGCACCGTCATTTCCCCTTACTTTCCAATTAAAAGTGTTTTCCTTTAAATTTGTGTGGATTGCCTCAGTTTTAATTTCCATTATTACTCAAGGAAGGACTCAGGCTAGCTGGTGATGTTTCTACCTCAGAGATTACACCAGGTACTGGGGATACTATGGAGAACAAAATGGAGCTTTTATTTGTGTGGTTGCAGAGACATTGTTAATAATGTGCACGCAAGCCACTGGAGAAACCTGTATGTAAACAGACATTTGAGATACCTTAGGGAAAGCAGAAACGTAGGCAACGTTAGAACATTGCTACACACTAATTCATTTGTTGCCAAAAAGCCTTAGGTGGTAGGTACGATTTTTATTCCCAAACTGTAACACAGAGAGGTTAAGCAACTGAAGGCCACATGGGTAGAGACAGGATTTGAACCCAGGCAGTCTGGCTTTATCCTCGATAAGCTTAATGACAATGCTAAACTGGCAAAGAGCCATGTGGTACCATTCCAGGTAGCAGTAAGTGTTGTGAAAACTAAAATGGAGAACGGAGGTGAAGTGACCCTTTAGAAGGACTGCCCAGGGACAGCCTCTAGCCTAGAGCAGGTAATGTTTCAGCAGAGGGAACTGAAGGGACTGATTTCACTTGAGAGCCTGGCACGCAGGTAGAGATTTAAGGATTATTAACCTTGGCATTTTTTTTTTGCCTTCCCCAAGGGCAAAGCACTTTTATACCTGTTTTTCCCTCTGTCAAAAGTGCACTTCTTCATCCCGTTTTTCACACGCAAGGTCCAGTTCTGAGAATAAGCATCTGCCCCTGTCTGTTTTCTTGACCACAAACCTCTTCCTACTTTGGATTTCTTACATGCTCCCAAGGAATGCTGATGATGCTGTTCCTTGGACCACATTTTGGAAAGCAAAGGTCTCGCCACCTCACCCCTCACCCTGTCAGGTGACCAGACACATAGGCAATGAAGGCTTATTCTTATATACCTCTCCAATGTTGTTAACGCAGCCATCTTCTGGATCCCAGCCTCCCACCCTCCCCCAGAAGCCACGAACTCAGCTTGGAAACCAAAATAATACTGTTTTATTCCAATCTCGAAGGGCAACAATCCAGATAGTTCCCTCTCCAGGGGGAAGTCTCCTGCTCACCCCTCCAGACTCCCAGTGCCCTCCTTCATTTTGCAACGAAAAACCGGAAGGTTCAGGAAGGCCCATTATCAAATTCTTGGAGACATACCCCAACCACTCCCCTCTCCCTTCTTCGCTCTCCATATCCCTTTGTCATTCTTTTGTCTTCTCTCTTAAAATTCCTGTCTCCTCTCCTTCTTGTCTGCCCTTCCTCCCCACCTCCCAGTGTTTTCTCAAATTTCTGCCTCTCCTTTGTTCTCAACTCTCCTTCATGTCTTTTTGTTCTCTTTCCTCCCTTGCTTTTCTACCTTCGTCCTCCAATCCTAGGATGACCAGTCTACTCCTGCGTCTCTTGACATCCTGGTGTCCTCCCCTTCCCCCAGTCCTGCCCCTTTCCTGTCCTGTCCTCTGCCTTGGCCGGACCCTGTCTACACTTCTCACACATTCCCTCCTGAGGGTAACCCTCTGAGCCCAACATGGTCATCAGCATTTTCTACAGCTGTGGCTTCAGGACTTCAGAGAACATTGTCAATTTCCTCTTGAGCCAGAGAGGCAAATTGCCAAGGTCCCTGGATGATCCAGGAGGTGCCCAGAGGGACAGGGGTGGCCTCCTTGGCTCAACCCTGTTATCTTTGGGATAAAAGAATGCCTGTCCTCCACATGGAGGGTGGGAGGTAGGAGCCTGAAGGGTCAGGGCTCTTGGGCTCTCCCCCAGCAATCCCTGAGCAGGTCCATGTGAAATAAGGCGGCCCCAGTGAGGAGGCGTGCTGCAAAGAGGTGCCGGCAGGGGAGACGACGTGCAGCGTGGATCGAGCAGCTGCAGTACGTGAGGGCCCCATCCAAGAAGAAGTCTGAGATACCATCCTTGAGAGCAAAGCCAGTTCCAGTCCAGTGGAAACCCTGAGTGCCATGTTGCCTGGCGAAGGCCAGTTCCTCGGCCACCAGGTCTGCCAGCTCTGGCCCACAGGCTGCTCGGAATTTGGCCAGCGGCTCCCAGTCCATCTCTTGCTCTCTGGAGGGGCAGCAAAGCCTCTTCGGTTCCCTTGGGCCTTCTCCCTTACCTCGTTCCGGCAGGGCTTCCCCTGCAGCCAGTGACTCACTCCTCATCACTGACCGTTCCGGATTGCCTTCCAACACTGTCCCCCTGGAGGCGGCACATGGGACTCCATTCGGCCGCCCTGGACACCGTCCTCCTGTGTTCCCCCACTCTATCCCTTGTCCTGCTCTGCTCTTGGAGCCTACAGGCCGGGATCCCCCTCCATCTCCATTTGCCACGCCTGTATCCTTGGCATCTCCCAGATGGACTACAACTAGGTCCTCCAGGCCCCGTCTCCTCTTGACCCCTGACCGCCCCCCCCCCTCCTCCGTGATCTCCGGCCCTCTCCGCCCCTCATCTGCCCACTGAGCCCCTCTTTGGTCTCCACTCTCAGGAACCAAGTCCAAGGGCTTCTCCAAATGGATCTCTCGCCACTTTCTGACAGCTACCCCTCTGCCCTTCTCTATCTCCAACTCGGGTCTCTTCCAGTCTCGGGGTTTCAGTGCACTTGCCCTCTCATGCTGCAGCTGGACCCCCCTCCAGAGATTTCCCTCCAAACTCCCAGCTCTCCTGGATTCAAACTGGGTCCCCCTCCGGTCTGTGATCTCCAGGAGCCTGGAGCTTCCATCCCCCAAGTGGGCTCCCCTCCAATCTCTGACCTCTGGCCCTCTCGAGTGCTCTTTCTCCAACTGAGGTCCCCTCCAGACACCCCCTTCCAGCACCCTCACCTTCTGGTCCTCCAAATGGACCCCTGGCCAATCTCTCATCTGCAAACCCCTCCCCTTTTCCCCTTCCGGCTGGGCCTCTCCCTTGTCACTAGCATCCAGGCCCCTCCCTCCCTCCACCTGGGCTCCACTCCTGAGCTCGCAATCCAGCCACACCCCCCGGCCATCAGCGCCCTCAGAGGCTGCCTCCCCAGCTGCATCCGCCCACTGCATGGCCACCAGGTCACGGAGGCACTGCGCCACGCTGTGTGAGGGGCTGAGGCGGCTCAGCAGTCGCCTGCGATGGCCATGTACCAGGGCGCAGGCGTCCAGATCTTCAGACGCCTCAAAGGCACGGAAACGCACCCACATGTTTTGGCGGGGTGCCCAGTTGTGGTTAAAGTATTTCATGAAGGCGTCCGGGCCCTGGGCACGCAGCTCGGCCAGTGCCTCGGTATAGGCAGTGTAGGATGAGGCGCCGGCCAGGCGGCATAGCAGGGGCCACAGGCCTGGGTCCTCGTAGCTGGCACCGCCCAGTTCCTGTGCCTTGCTGAAGAGCGACTCCAGGCCCTGCACGCGGCAGATCTGCACACGCGCACGAGGCAGCAGCTGGCGCACGGCCCTGACCTGCGCGGCCACTTCCGGCCCAGCTGTGAGGCAGCGCACACGGCCTTTGACATCCGGCGCACTCTGCAGCAGCGAGACCAGCACGAAGCGCAGGAGGCTTGGAGTGCCCGGGCGTGCCACGCAACAGGCGGCCTGGCGCGCACGGCCCGCGCCGTCCACGCACAGCACCGCTAGCAGGTCCAGTGTGCCCTGTAGCCCTGGCAGCCGGTCCACCAGCAGTATGCGTGGGAAGCGCCGCAGCAGCGCCCTGGTCCGAGATGTCAGGAAGAACACAGTCTCTACCATGGCCTGGTCCTCCACGAACACCAGCCTCACCTGCAGGCGCGGGCAGGAAGGGAAAGAAAGTTTAGGGGACGCCTGAGACCTTGCCCAGCTCGGCTTCTAGCTCTGGGGAAACGGGAATCCAGTCCCTTCAGTGTATATCCGCATTTATCCTTTTGACCAGCAGGAAGCAGTGTGGGGGAATCGTTGAAACCGCCGACCCCATTGATTGCCTGGGTTTGAGATAAGGTACCATGTCCTAGCAGCAGTGTGACATTTACACACAAAACACTTTTAGCTTCTCTGAGCCTGTTTTTCCTGCTGGGAAGCTGGTATTTATTCCTTCTTGTGGTGAGGGTGTCTAGGGCAGTGGTTCTCAAAGTGCGGGCCCTCAAGCATCAGCCATGGGGGCCCTGACAGAAACATTCGTGGATCCACCCCAGATCTGCTGAGGTTGAAACTCAGGAGCGGGACCTAGCAGTCTGTGTTTTGAAAAAACACCCGCCCCCACACCAGGGTTCCCATGGCCAGTGGACAACTGGTTAGTGGTAAAGAGCAGACTGTGGAGACCAGGCATCGCATCTCCCTTGCCTGCTTGATTTGACTGCTCAGTGCCTCCATAACCTCTATGTTCTCCAATTTCTCCTCCCAGAAACTGAATATTCATTTCTTCTAGCACTGAGAGTCAGGGCAGCTGTTAAAAAGAAAGCTGCTGAGGCCAGACTGCCCAGCCTTAGTGACTGTCATGTGTAAAGTGTCCCTCTGTGACTGGATGAAATGCATCATCCAAACAGAACACTTCCCAGTCAAGTCAGAAGTGCTGTCCAAGACTTCACTTTAGTATAATGATCATCTCTGCTCAAAAACTACCTGCTCTAAAGACGCAAAAAACCCCCCTGTAATTCTTATTTTCACCATTTTATGCACAAAACAGCATATTATTTATAGTTTTGCAACTTGCTTTAACTTAAAAAATGTATCTGAGAGCTCTTTCCAGATCTGTTCTTAGGCTTGTTCTCATTTTTACCACTTTATAATATTCCATGAGTGGATGTGCCACAAATTATATAACCGTTACCCATTGGTGAGTTTTGGTTGGTTCTAATCTTTTGCTTTCATGAATCACAGTTATTATCTTCATATATAACTCATTCCAGAGCTGTGTGACTATTATTTGCAGCAGAAATTACCAGCAGCAGAATGGAGAATGCTTTGGCCATTTAGATGTATATTGCTAAGCTGCCCTCCAATGCGATTGTACTGGTTTACTACTTAGTATTCTTAAAGGAAGCACACTTGGATCATCAATTGCTTTTCTCAGAAGGCACAGCATACACTAGAGAAGGGTGCTTGGCCATGCAAGGCCACTCTCTCCCCACAGCCTGCTTGCTGGCTGTTCACTGCAAGCCCATCACCCTGCTTCAGTACAGATTATAGGTCTTAACACCTCCTTTGGTGAAGCAGCCACCTGATCTTGCCTACAAGCTGTGCTTTGGGGCTCCTGGGTGTTCTCTCCTTGTCCGACCCCTTCCAAGACCAAGAAAGCTGCTCCAGCTCAAGTACTCAGCTTCCCAGAGCCCTCCTGCCATGGCTTAGATGTCCGCAGAGTCCCCTGGAGGGCTCTGTGCTGAAGGCTGAGTTCCAGGTGGCACCAATGGGAGGGGTGGCAGAACCCTAAGGAGGTGCCTCGTGCAGGGTCCTTAGGTCACTGGGCTATGACCTTAAGGGACTGTGGGACCTGCCTATCCCTGAATTCTCTCTCTCTCTGTCTGCTTCCTGCATCTTGAGGTGAGGAGTTTGCCCCTCTATGTGTTCCTGCCAGGTGTGCCGCCCTTTCCAGAGGTCCAAAGTGGCAGAGCTACTTGACCCTGGGCTGGAACCTCTGGAACTGGGGGCTGAATTTCCCTTTTCCCCTTATAAGTCAATGGCTTCAGGTATTTTGTTATAGTAATGCGAAGCTGATATGCCCTCCTTTTGAAGATTGCTGGGAAGAGAAGAGCACACTATCTGCTTGTTGCTTAGCCTGGTCTTATAGTATTACTATATTAAGAACAGAGGACTCTACAATAGATTTTATCGTTAAAATAGCCAATGGGAAACTGTGCCAAGGCAACATACTGAACGCACCTCTTTAATTTCACTTTCTCCTGAGTCTCAAGCACATCTGGAGAAAATGGCTTCATTGTGCTCTTTAAAGAGAGGGGAAATAGGAAAGATGACAGATACAAAACTCTGGAAAGCAGATGAATAAGCTGACTCTTACCTCACCCCATGCCACAAGAACTCATGGACACTAAAGTAGCAATTGGGGAGAATGAAGAACCAAGAGCAGAGTCCTTGCAAGGCCCTGTGATTCAGGCAATGAGAAGCAGTGGGAGCTACTGAGGCAGCAGCTTGGCTGCCAGACCCCATGGTTCCCTTCCTCACTTTCCCTGGCAGTCCCTCCCGTGACTGGAGGTTCACTCTGCAGAATGAGGCACTGGCTTTGGGGATATCAGGCCCATCTAAGGCTGAGGGAGGAGGGATCCCAAACCCCAAACTGGGACTGAGTGTACCTTGGTGACTAATACCAGCTCCCAGCCCTCCTTCTCCCACTTTCATCCTTCAGCCAGGAGAAGGAGGAGTTTTCTGAGGGATCTGACTGGTCCCAGAGGAAGACTGACAGATGCTGACATTTGGCACCCCTGGACCTATTAAAAGCAAGATGCAAAACAGTGTGCAGAATACACTACCCTCCTAAGTAGGAGTGGTGTAGGGTAGAGGAAATAAGGTTAAAAACTGAGAAATGCAAACTTACCTGTATATTCATAGCACTGCGCTGCCCAATGCAGATACCACTAACCCCATGGGGCCATTTACATTTCAATAATTTAAAGTTTAAGAATCTAGTTCCTCAAGTCAGACTAGCTACATTTCAAGTGATCAGAGAGGCCCCTGGCTATGCTACTGGACAGCGCATGCAACATTTCTAACATGGCAAAATGTTCCACTAGGCAGTGGGGGCCATAGAACAGAAACATATTTAAAATACATAAGCAACTGATGACTTGGGTAACCTCTGAGGAAGAGAGCAGGGGCACAGAAGTTCACAAAGGGACTTTTTCACTACGTGTGATTATGTCACATATTCAGAAATTAAACACCTAATGTTTCTATAAAGGAATAACCTGCTGAGTGTGAGGGAGTATACCTATAGCTCCAGCACTTGGGAGGCTGAGGCAGGAGGGTCACTGCAAGTTTGAGACCAGTCTGGGCTGCATAGTGAGTTCAAGGTCAGCCCGTACAACATAGTGAGACCCTGTCTCAACAAAACAAAACAAAACAAAACAGAACAAAACAACCCAAAAAACAAAAGACAAACAGGAAGGAAGGAATAACCTCTCATTGGCCTGTCTCCTGGTTTTCTAGAACTTCTTCTTCATTTTTTTTAAGAGTATGAAGGTGGCCAAAATGCAGCACCAAGAGGCAACCCTGGTTTAACTTGATGCCGAGGGTCCGCCATGGAGATTAAAGGGCCAATCCCTTTTCTTGATGGCTTTAATTTACGAATGAGTTGCTTTGCTCAGGAGCAGCCATACAGTGGGCAGTTCTGGGAAAGAACAACTGAGGTTTATTTATTCAGTGAATAATAGTAACTCAGTAACGACTAATGGGATAAATAGAACAGGCGTGTGGATCCTGATTTTATAGAACAGCAAACTGATGCGGGTGGAATTGCACAGCACAGCAGTGAAGACTGTAGGCCCGGATCTAGACCGTGGGTTCAAAGCCTAGCTTTGCGACTGAGTAACTGCACCTTGGGCCAGTCACTCGACCTCTCTGTGCTTCATTTTGTTTTGTAACATGAGGGTGACAATGAAGTGCTCCTTCTTCCTGGGGCTATGATGAGATGTAAATGAACTGCACTTAAAAGTAAAGCACTTAAGAGTAACGCCTGACACACAGTAAGTGCTCAAATTACATAAAGCTGTCGACATTATGTGTGCACAAAGGGCTGCACTTGGGCCAGTGGCTTGGATCGGGGCTGGTTACTGGATATGAGACGGAGAGCACCTGGATCCCAAAAGTGGGTTCACATCTCAACTTTACCTTGAGTTGGGACTATTTCCGTGCATGAGAGACACACACAGCCAGGTAGATGACTCAGTTTCCCCCATTTCTTGTCTGTTTTTTTTTTTAAATCCTCAAGTCTAACCTAGCCTTAAAGTTGGATCAAAGTAGTAGAGAGTCTTCAACACACCAAGCTTGCACCAGCGTCTGGCTGTTCCCTCTGCCTGCAATGCTCTTCCCTCTGATAATGGGACAGGTGTCTTTTCTCCTCTCTTCATCTGCTTCACTAGCATTTCCTTAAGGAGGCCTTCCCGGGTGGGGGACTGCTCAGTAATAAATCACTCACCTAACATGCATGAGGCCCTGGGTTTGATCCCCCTCATCATTAAAAAAAAGAAATAAGGGCTGGGGATTTAGCTCAGTGGTCCCGAGCCTGCCTCAAAAGGTCCTGAGTTTGATCCCCGGTACCGTCAAAAAAAAAAAAATTAGCACCCCTAACAACCGTCCTACCCTCACCCCATTCTACTGTATAATTCTCTTTCCTCCATCACATTCTATAACGTAACACTCTCTCTTCTAATTCTTGATCTGGGTGGTAAGTTCAGGGCTGTTTTTACTTTGTGAACATTTGTAAACTATTTACTTATCACTTGTGTGTTTTCTATTTGTGTATTTCAATTTGAAAAAAAAAAATCAGACTGTTCCCTCTATCTCTTTGGCTCCTTCCTGACATCCAACCCTTCTACCACCCTGTCGCTTCTGGATGTATCTGTCCACTGTTGGTTTCTCCCACTAGAACAGCAAGGTGGTTCCAGCAGTGAACTCCGAAAGGTAGCCAATAGCCAGACATGGCTATTTAAAATTTAGTTAATTAAAATAAAGTAAATTTAGACCCTGATGGTACTGGCTTCACTTCAAGCACTCAACAGCCACGTAGGGTTGGGGCTCCCATACTGGGCAGTGCAGAGCCACCAACATTTCCATCAGAGCAGTAAGTGCTACTGGGTAGCCAGCATCAGTGGGCCATGTGTCTTGTTCAGGGCACCCCAAGGACTCAGCAGATGGATAGTGTAGAAAGGAATGAATGAATGAGGGGAAGGAGCGAAGGGATGAGTAGGCACAGGATGAATGAGTTCCCCTGGAGAAATGAATGAATGCCCTGCTAGTCTCCCCATCCTTCCTCCCCAGACCTTACCTTGGCCTCGGGATCAGTGCGGAAGAGCCCCTCCAGCACATGCAGGGCGTCCAGGACTCCGTGGTCGGGGCCCTTGCAGCGGGACAGCAAGCGGCGCACGTCGTCCGGGGCCACAAACTGCTTGGAGATCCGGTTGGTTATGCGCACGGGCAGGCAGGCGTTGGCCAGCAGGTGGCCAGGGCGGAAGTGGTAGGCGAACTCTCGTGGGCAGGCTGGGTGCGAGTGGGTGAGCTGGCACTCCGACACCACGAGGCGGTCCCGCAGCGGGCTCAGCTTGAGGGTGATGAAGGCCGGGCAGCTGGGCTGGGAGGACCTGCAGGAGGAACCACCGTCACATCCCTCCACTGCTCCCTCCGTCTGTCCATCTCTCTCACGCTCTCTCGTTATGTCTTAAGCATAGAGAAAACTAGAAGGCCCAAAGAATATGCCAGCTATGTGATACTGGACAGGTGACTTCGACCCGTTGCTTCAGTTTCCCCACATATTGAGGAAAGAGATTTTCCTCATAGGATGGTTGTGAGGTTAAAAAAAAATGATATAGGTAAAGGAATTAAAATGCTATCTGGACCATAGTAAGAGACAGGAAGCTGCTACTCAGCTGGCTTTGGAAATGGAAGGGTCTCAAGCTAGAATGTGGGTGGGCTCCAGACCCTAGAAGGTAAAGCAGGTTCTCCCAGAGACTCTAGAAGGAACACAACCCGGAGACACCTTGATTTTAGACACCCTGATTGACACCCATGTTGGCCTTATGATGGGCAGAATTGTAAGACGACAAATTCTTGTTTTAAGCCACTACATTCATGGTAGTTTTTTTTTTTTTAAACAGCAATAGATGAGGATACTGATCACAATCTGTACATCCTTTTACAGCACGCTTCTTCACTCTGCAGACCGTCCAGACTCTTCGGCACCATGCCTTTTATTGACTGACTAATATCCTAGTCTAGGACTCCACGGACTATCATGGTTTTTCCAGTCACCCTGTCACAGACCACACGTTAGTGGACCCTCTCTTAGACATCTCTGTGTGTGGACAAGCGTTTGTCTAGGACAGTGGTTCTCAAACTGCAGGCCACAGCCCATCACAGGAAGTCAGTTTAGACAGTTACAACCAGTATTGTAACAAATGAAATAGAGCAGAGGGGAAAAAAGTGTCTGAGTTTGATTCCCAGCACAAAAACAAAACAAAACAAAGAAAAATCAGTGTGTATTTCCATGAACTCCTACTTTTGGAAAGGAGGTGTAGCATTTTTCCATGACCAGGTACAATTTCAGCATTTTCAGATACGAAGTTCTGGGTTTATACTGCAGGGATTGGCAAACTTTCTGCCAATGGCAAGAAAGCAAATACAATAATATGACAAAAAGTACAATGTATGTTTAAATATTTTAAAATTTTATTACAATAAAAAACACATTGCTATCAATCCCCTTTGCTTCAAACACACTTAACCCATCATTCTTGGCACTTTCTGAAGCAGTTTTAGAAGTCCTCTTTCAAGGGGTCTTGAATTGTGCTAAATGCTTTCGTGGCTGCCTCAATGTCCTAAATCAATTCAACATGTTTATCTTTCATGATCAATCTGACTCTGGGGAAGAACCAGAAGTAGTACCAGTCCTGGTGAATAAGGTGGATGAGAACACATCCTAATATTTTTATAAGCCTGCCTGTCCACTGGATGGCACTTGATAGCAGCATTCACTCACTGTATTTTGAATCTCACTCTGTAAAGACACTGGTGAAAGATGACTTCCAGAATGGCTCCAGAAGGTGCCAAGAATAATAGGATAAGTGTGTTTGAAGGGGGGGGGTGGATTTTGAGAAAGATTAATGGCAAGATGTCTTTTATTGTAACAAATTTTTAAAATTTAAACTCCTGTACTTTTCTGTCACCCCTTATATAGTCTGGTGCTCTACTGCAAACAAACCATAGATAATATATAAATGAACAGGTATGACTATTCCAGTAAAACTGCAGGCTGGATTTAGCCAGAGGGCTTTCCAGTTTGCTGACCCTTGTAGCAGACCAGGGCCCGGCATATACTTAAGAAGCCCCAGCTCCTGGTAGTAAATGCCAGTAGCACAACCTCACATTTCTTTCAGGTGGCTTAGAAGAATGATTCTCCTCAGGAGCTATCCTGAGAACCACCAGTAAGTATTTAAGAATTTTCTTCTTAAACCAGAAAGGGATCCCTAACACACTCTTTTCTCTTACATGCAGACCCAGGAGCCTGAATCTTAAAAATCAGAATCAAGAGTTGGAGACTTTTTGCCTTATTTGAGATAATATAAATGATGCAAATGTAGAAAACTCTTAAACACATAAACTGTTACGAAAAACACAAACATACAGCTACATGGTGCTATCAGGTAGAAGCATAAGAAACTAACAACGTTCAGCCGCTTCCGGTCTACCAAAATGGCAAGTTCGTGGGATTCCACCCTGTACATTTTCTTAGAACAATTCATGGGCTTTTGTGAGACTCTGACTTGGCCTCTTTCAGCCTAGGTGTTTCAGTCCCTAGGACAGGACCTCATTCAGGGAAACCACTCACTTCACCAGAGAACACAGAATCACCTCTGTGGGATCCCAGTATCTCGCATAACCACCTACTGATGCCTCAACACTGCAACTTCTTCCCACCTGTCTAGTGCAGATGCCACTCCTCTCCAAACATAAACTTCACATGGATAGGAGTTTTGGCCTATTTCATCTGTATCTCCAGGATCTAGAATAGTACCGGGCCCTATAGGTGCCTACACAATCAGCCTTCAGTACCTACAGATTCCCTACATGTGGATTTATCCAATCAGAGGGAACATATTTCAAAACAAAAAAAAATTATGTCAGTACTGAACTTGCACAGACTTTTTTCTTGTCATTATCCTTTAAGCAATAAAGTAGGATAGCTACTTATACAGGATTTACATGTATTGTTTTATAAGTCATCTAGAGAAAATTTAAAGTATTGGGAGGAAGTATGCAGGTTTTATGTAAATACCATGTAATGTTATGTAAGGGATTTGAACATATGTGGATTTTGGTGTCCTGGAGACAATCCTCTAATATTGAGGGCTGACTGTAGGACAAATGAATGACAGAGCCCTGCTTTGGAACCTAGACATCTGGTACACTTTCCCTGGGATACTTCCATCAAACCATCCATCACCGAGTCCTGCCCAGCACACCTTCAAAAGTTCTCTGGAATAACCATGTTTTTTCTACTTCTACCGCCACCAATACACTGTACATTCTTTCCTCCTCTGTAAAGCTTCCTTCTCCCTTCTTCCTTCTTTTCACCACTCAGTTCTCACTCATCCTTCATACTACAGAGCTAGCATCACCTCTTCCAGGAAGTGCTCCTGCATAACCCATTGGTTAGGGTAGATTTCATCACACAGGTGTGACTGATGCTCATCTGTAACAGATGCTCCTCACCCAAACCCCAGCACCTAAGTCACATACACTATGCACATTGGTACTCAAAGCTACTCTCTTGGATGAATGGACGAACCAGCCGATGCCTAGAACCAAGAAATATTTGAGGTGCTGGCGCATTTGACTCCCATCTTGGTAATCCATAATTGAAATAAAGATGTGTGGTAGGGGAGAATGGAAACTAGAAGCATGAGTTTTACAGTTGGACCAAATCCTGGTTTCCCTCTTTTTCAGCTATGTTATCTTGGGAAAGTCCTGTAACCATTCTGTGCCTGTTTTCTTACTTGGAAGTTGGAGCTCAAATAATACCAACTCCACAGGATTGTTCAGAGGACTAAACAAGAGGAAAAAATGATGTGAGGTGGCTGAAAAAGGGACAAGGGCCTCATAAACACTTAAGAAATGGTAGCCACTATTTTCAAAGCATCTTTTTTTCTAAAAGTACTTGGTCTTTCCCTTGCCTGTTTATTCTTGATCTTGCAGGTTTTAATGATCTTTGCATTTCCAAAGGCTGGGTGTGTCGGGAAAGACAGAGTAATCCTGATCCACAGAGGGGAATGCTGGGGGTGGGGGGCTGCTGGCGGTGGAGGTGCAGGGAGATGACTCTGACCGGGAACAAAGCCTTTATCTCTGCTTCCCAGACCTACAGCTTTCTCCCTGGCCTCTCCCCCAGATCACCTCCCATGTGACCCTGCTCCCAGTCTTCCGGGGCTCCCCAGCACCCTCAGAATAACGTCCCAGTCCCTGGACTTAACTCTGGCAGATCCAGACTTGACAGTCTTTAGCTTCATCTCCTGCCTTTTCTCGCACTAACTTGTCCAACTGCAGACCTCACCCCATGGGCTGTGCCTGGTCTGTGGCACTAGAGAGGTGCTACTTTGAGCAGCTGGGGAGGGCTGGTCCAAGAGCTCAGAAATGACGGGTCTAAGCCAGTGACCCACACTTCTGAGCTCCCAATGCAGGGACCATCCCACTATTCAGCTGGTCACCAGGCCCAAACCTGGGGGACTGTGCTCGTCCCCTCCACAGCCTGTCCCTCCTGCCTACAGGCTCTTCGATGTGGAGACACTTGGGGTTTTATCTGTACATAATAATCACATGTTGGTTAAGTCAAACACTGTACAAAATACTATTTGCATTTTTTTGGTGTATTTGGTCTTTGTCTTCTCCATTAGATTCTGAGCAGTTCAAGGGCCAAGACCAGTTTTGAGATCCAAATGCCCAGCAAAGAGCATGCAAGAGTAGGTGCTCATTAAGTATTTGTTACACTGAATTAGGTCCTGTTAATAGGGATTCTGAATTAGGCCTGAGCTTCTTGCAAATTCTAATATCCTAGATTGCTGTGTGATGGTGTGTTTTGACACTGTTCTGCTTTCAGATCACCAATCTGTGTCTCTGGATCAGACTAGAGAGGACACAACTGTTTAAATAACTGTGGGTAAAAATAGCTGTGGAGAGTACACATTTTGTGCTGCACACTCTTTGGGACAATTAACATGTACTGGCTCACTGAATCCTCACTAAACCTATGAGACAGAGTCCCCTGCCCCCTGCCTTTCTCCTTGAGGACACTGAAACCCAAAAAAGGTTGGGCTCCAGGCACCAGGGCAAGTGACCTTCTTGTGCATGAACAGAGCATCCTGACAATGACCCTCTGAGGTGGGTACTGCAACAGCTCCACTTCAGAGGTGAGAAACTGAGGCTTGAAGATGTGAAGTCCATTGTTCAAAGACACCCATCCAGTACACAGGTGAGCTGGACTCACGCAGCCCGTGTTCTTAAGCACCCTGCTCTTCTCTATGGCTGCTCACCCATGGTCCTCAAACTCACACCTATAGGGACCAGGCTGGCAGGGTAATGAAGCAACGGCCCATGAAGCAGCAGACAGCAGCAGCTTCTGGGGCAAACCTGAGTACAAAAGCCCCATATAATGGGGTTATCTGTTTGCTACTTGGGAACATGGGTCTGCCTCCTCTCCTGTTCAAAGGAAGCTAGAAGCCCAACATCGTATGGGAAATGATCTGTTTAGTATTGGGATCAGTGGAAACATCCTTGGCCCTGGTGATTCTCAGCACTCTTGGATGGTTCACCTGCCCCTCCTCGTAGCATTATACAGTTGGGTAAACTACTTACGAACTTCTCTTAACATCAGTCTTCCTGTCCAGTCTAAAAGTTCAGGAAGAGCATGAATTTTGGCTCTTGTTCAACAACTCTCCTCCTCATACATTAAAATATCCCAAATAAAATATCTCGTGACATGGGACCTGGCCCTACATTTATTGAATAGAAGTATCTTTTCCTTTGTCTTGAGGCTTGCCTAGAATTCAGTCCCCCAGTTTTTCCTCTTTGTATGTATATAAAATCTGGCTCTATTTTCCTGGCTCTCTCTCTCTCATGGTTTTGGTTCAGTCTCCAAATTTTCTGTGACTTTCTTTACTCTCTGCCTCTCTCTCTTTTTCTCTCTGTAAATTGGGCTCAAGATGTCTCTACTCTGTCCAAGATGCTTTGTCCCTCTGGTTCCCTGGTTCCTTTCCCCTTATAAGTATCCCTCTTTGACTCCCTTCCTCGGTATCTTTTGCCAGTCTCCATCAGCCTCTCTCCCTCCCAACTCTGAGTGGGGGCTCACCGCCCTTCCCAGCCCCCACCCCCCCTGCAGGGTTGAGGCTCAGGCTCACGCACCACTTTGCAGGCTGGCTGGATGAGCGCACATCCTTGCACACCAGCAGCACGTAGCTGTACTTGAGCACGTGGATGAGCCTGTAGAGCGGAGGCACACTGGCCCAGGGGCTGCGCGCCACACGCGTGGAGTTCTTGATGGAGAACACCACCAACCGCTGCTGGCACCACTTGTCGAAGAAGCGGCTGAACTCAGCCCAGGAGAAGAAGACTCGCTTCAGCAGCTCCTGTTCCTCCTTCCCCACCACTGTGCAGGGTGGGGGCTCTGGCAGCTCCATCCTGGGGCCCTGAGGGGAATGGGGGAGAACAGCTGGATATCAGAACCATCCCTGTAGGGGATCTCATTTTCTCCATTCTCAGCCTGCCCCATCAGTGCAGGTGCCTCCACCTTGCAGGGCCTTGGGCTGGATGCAAACTTTTTATCCAGATATAAACCTCCGCCTCATCTTTGTTGAGTCCTAATCTGTTTTCCCCTGGTTCAGCTGGAACCTAATCCTAACTGTGAGAGGACTCCTAGGTACAGCTCAGGTTCATTACGCTTAGCTGTGGGCAACGCCTTATATGTGTTCCTAGCATCCATCTAAGATCTCCTCGCCCTCCAGAGGTGTCCCCTACGCCTCTGAGATTCCTATTTCCTACATTGTGCTGTAACCCACAGCCATCTGCCCCCCTCCCTAAAGACATTTCACTTCTGAATGTCCTCCTGGCATCGAAGCACAGATCCCTCATCTCCAGACAGGCATCTGTGGCTCCTTCCTCCCTCGATGTCTTTGATACACAGCTGTTGCTCCTCTAGCAAATGTGGCCCCTGTATGTCACCCCATTCGGCTGTGCCTCCGGTCTCCCAGAGATGCTCTCATCTCTGCATGCTTCCCACCTCCAGCTATGGGCCCTTTGCCTACAGGTGTGTGGCCCACTGTGGCCAATTCAACTCAGAAGTGTCATCGATATTCACCTGTGGTCCACCTCCTTCTCAGATCACCCCCTCCCACCCCATCAAGCTGTGGCCTCCTCCTCCCAGTTACAGCCACCATCCTCCCCAATGTGAGGCTTCGCTCCAGACATGGTCCCTAGTCCTCAGATGGGTTTCTTCACCTCAGATTCACCCCCACGTCCATCTGCGCCTTGCCCTCCCCCGTGCAGCCCCTTCCAGCTGGCTCCTTCCTCCCTGACCCCTCTCAGTCCCGCTCCCGCGGTCCCTATCAGCCCTGCGGTCCCACCCAGCTGTGCCTACCCGCTACCCCAGATGTGCGCCCTTCCTGTCCCCCCCCCACTCACCTACCCAACCCAGAGCGGCGTCCACCTCCCACAGTGCCCCGCGTCGAAGGCCTGCCCGGCCCTTGTTCCCGGGATGCTCAGCGCGGCCTCCCGCCTCTCCTCCCGCCGTACCTCGCGCGGAGGAGTCCATCAAAACTTCCTCTTTTCCCGCCAGTTCTCCCCTGGGACCCTCAGCCACAGCAGCTCATCCAAAGAGAGGGCAGGCTCAGGGTTGCTTCCTAGCATGCTGTTCGGGAGGGCTTGGCCCATTACACCATTTTTTCAGGCCACAGTTCCTTGTGTCAGGGGACTACAACTCCCAGCATCCTCCGCGCGGCTGCGCTGCAAGGACAGCCCTAGCACTCGCTTTTCGGCCGACCCCGCCTCTGCCCGCCAAAGTCTGCGCGCGAAATCTGTGGCGCGAATCTAGGACTGCCGAGTGCGCCGCGCTGAGCAAGTGTGGCGTCCGGGGCCGCAGCGCGCCAGGCAAGTGGGGCCGCCGGCGTGGCGCTGGGGGTGGGGCGGCTACCGTGTTGAGGGCTCCGAACCCGGACCCATGGCCTCATCAGGTCTGGGTGGCGGTAGAGGAGCAGGCGTTAGGATGATGAGGGGGCCGAGAGCACGGCGAAAGGGATGTAGGCAGGCAGCAGGCCGCTGTCCGCTCGGAAGAAGAGTCAAGTGGGCCGCGTCAAGCTGGACGCTGAAGGGTCTGCGAGGCCTAGGGGGCGGGGTACCCGAATAGGGGCGGGGTAGAGAAGCTTGAGGGCGGGGCCTGGGTATAGTTTCCTGGTGGGCGTGGTCATCTGGGAGTGGGGCGGGCTTGGGAGACCTCAGCCTGCCAGGCTGAGGCAGTGGCAGGGTTAATTTAGGGCGTGGCATTAATAAAGATGAGGGGGATCAGCTGGACAGAGGTGGGCCCCATAGGATATCAGTGGTGATATGTAGGTAAAAGCCTCATCCAGGGAATCTTCTGGGTAGCGAGAAGTCTGGCCTTGTGCAGGAGCTAGGGAAAAGGAGAGCTAGATAGCAAGAAAAGGGCAAAGGTCTAGGAAGGGGTGGGGCCCCAGACGGGCTTCCTTTCTGGTGTCCTTGATGACTGGCAGTTTACTCCTGGGCAAGGCAAGGTCTCTCTCTGGTCTCAGTGTCTGCATTGCTTTCGGAGATGCTGAGTTGTTTTAAGAGAATGAGAAAGAGTAATATATTTAGGGGAAAGGTGTAAAAATGTTTGACAAGGCTAGGGTGTGAGTAGGAGAGCAGACAGGTCAGCAGAATTGTGAGCCTTTATTAATCTAGAAGACAAGCGGACTGGAGCTTTCTATCCACACTTCACTAAAGACCCCTTTATATTGCTCCACATCACAGTGGCCTCCACGTTTTGAAAAGCCCTGATTATCAACCCTGAATTTTTGAAAACTGGTGTTAAAAAAACAAGTATTGGCCAATGCATTCAGTTGAAGGCACTGCAAGTGGCACTTGCTAAGTTGCTATTTAAATTTAATGAGAATCAAACCCAGCTCCTCGGTCTCACTGACTGCATTTAAAGTGTTCTGAAGTCGTATGTGGCAGGAGTTACCACGTTGGACAGCACATAACACTATCACTGCAGAAAGCTGTGTTCAATGGCATTGCTTCCAGAGGGTGAGACAAATATTTATAACATAAAGTTGTAGTAAATACTGTGTAGAAAACAGAGTGAGAGGGGATAGTAGATATTGTGTAGAAAAAATAGTGAGGAGGGAGGGCCCATGTTCCTGGCCGGGGTGATCAGGGAAGGCCTCAGTGAGGAGGTGGCTTAGGAGAGAGCTTCCTGAGCTTAGGGAGTGTCCAGACAGCCCGGGCCTGGGGCAGCAGCTGCAGGGAAGACTGGACGGCCAACTTGGTTGCTCCAAAGTGATTGAGGAAAGGAAGTTGGTGAGTTGGTAGGGAGGAAGAATTGCTTATCTGTCCCCTGCAGGACTCGGGAGTTTATTCTAAGTGAGGTGGGATGGTGGACCTCAGCTATAGTGGTGGTGTGCTAAGAGAGTTGACACTTGGAGGTGTAGCCAGTGGGACTTGCATGAGTTTGTTATGTGAGAGAAAACATTGAGTGAGTCAACAGGAGCTCCAAGATTTGGATTGTGTTTTTTTTCCCAGGGCCTTTGAGGTAGAAAGAGCTGCCAAACATAACTTGGAATGGATAATTACTGTAAAATATTTGTTCATGAACTCTGTCAGTTTAATGTAGCAATAATGTGCTGTTTATGTACTTTGTGTGGCCTACCCCTAAAACTCCTACTGTGTCAACTTGTCCCTGTTTGGAAACTCCAGGTGGGCCTGCCCCCTCTTGTCGGGCAGCCTGTTCCTGGGAAGATTAGAAACCAGCCCTGAGATTTGTTTATGTAAGCCCCCAATCTTGAAACCATGGAAAATTGCCTAATGCTGCTTTACTACATCCTTGCTACATTCTGTATAATTGCAACTTGTCTTAGCTCGAGGTCAGTCTATAAGGACTTGTTTCTTGAGGCTGGCCATTGCCTGGCAATAAACTTCTTTTTTATTTTACCCAACTCTTCTGTCTCTAGAAGATCATTTCGACTCCTGATTTGCCACAACACCTTTATAAATACTCCATTCAGTAAAATAAGTTCATTTTGCTGTAAATTTTTTGCTGTGAGTTGTGAATTAAGAGTAGACCCACGTAACCACCACAATCAAGATTCTGTCCTGTTATCCCTAAAAATTGTCCTCTGCTGCCCAGTTTGTGGCCTACCCTTCCCCCTGGCTCTCACTATTCTGTCTCTGTCCCTGAAGCCATACATCCTGCACTGGAATACTACCCTGCAAGCAGAGGAAAGCCTTGTGTGATATCTGTACTGATCACCTGTTACCCACTGAAGGATGCTCAGGTTGTTTCCAGCATCTGATGGTCATGAACAGAGTTGCTATTAACATGCCCACGGTAACTGTAGGGAAATCAGAGCACTTGGGCAGCACTTGGGTAGTTGTGCATGTGGATATGGAGGTGGAAGTTTGCAGTCTTCTCCTGCCTGCTTCTATTTTCTAGGCTGAGAGGACAGAGGAGGGTTTGGTGGCTGGAGAAGCAGTTGGCAAATCCATTCTGAGCAAGTAAGGTTGTTGAAGGGATCAGGGAAATGTAGTGTTTTGTTGGCAGCTCTTAGAACAGTTAGTAGCTGTGCAAGTGCAGGCTAGTAACTGCAGGCAGCCAGTGGGTCCAGTTAGCATTGGGGTTTTGGCAGGTAAGTGACAAAGCAAGGGAAGCAGGCGCAAGGGAGCACCAGGATGGGGCAAGGCCAGCATGAAGAGGTGGCATTAGCCACAGGCTCGTAGGTCCAGGAAGGCCCAGGGACTTTTGGAGTTGAGTTCTTGGGGAAGGAAAGAGGAGGGCAGTGGCTGGAGAATGGGGTATTTGAATTGAGACACAAATGTGGGCAACATTGCATATAAATGGTATTTCATGCCATGGTACTGAGGCCTTTCATCATCCACACCCTTCCAGTTCTTGGCTAATTACCCCTTTGAACAAATGCAGGGCAGTGCTCCCAGCTTTCAGCAGCCAACACTCTGACTAGAACTTAGTAATCAGGTTTTGTTCTTTGTATTTATTTTTTATCACTGTATTCGATTTATGACAAATAATGCTATTCTTTCTAGGGGAATGACAGGAATTTCTTTGTTTATGTAAGTCCTGGGGATGTGGAGCTAGGTTACTTCCTGGATTGAATCCCCCTCTACCACTTAGGAGCTCTGTGACTTAAGACAAGCAATTTATCCTTTCTTTGCCTCAGTTTCTTGTCATTAAAGTAGGATGAAAACTGAGACTACCTCATCAAGTTGTTGGGAGGTTGGCTAATATAACATCTTTCTGGTTGATGTCATCACAATAACCCTAAGATCTAGGAACCACTTCCGTCCCAAACCTCTACCTTCCTGTCCCCCAGGATGGCTAGTATTTGGGAGCATGGACTCTGGAGCTAAACACTTGGTTTGGAATCCTGGCTCTGTGATCCATGTGCCTGTGTGACTGCAGATAAATTGCTCAACCTGTCTGTCCCCGAATTTCTGTATTTATAAAAATAGCTATAATGCCTAGTGATAGGATTTAAGGCACTTGGAGTAATAGTACCTAGTAATCACCTCGGTGATACAGGACGTATGGTAGTGGATAATCCAAATAAGGGAAATATAACTCTCAATCTGCTAGATAACCAAAACGCCGAGTTCATGTTCTCTAAAATTGAAGAATGAATTCTAGGAACAATGGAGGTTAAGAGTAAGAAGAATTTATTGAGGGTAAGACAGCTCCTGCCTGAGAGGGACAGGAGGGCACACCAGGAAAGTGGGTTGCTTGTCAACCCTGCTTCTCAAAGATGTTTTGAGTAAAGTCATGAGATGATGAGGTGGGTTCAAGGTGGGACAAAACTATGGTCAACCAATAAAATTAAACGTATAATTGCTTAGGTAATAATCGAGTGGGAACTCACAAGGTGGATATAAGATGGGACAAAACTAGGGTTAACCAATAAGAATAGTTGCTTAGGTAATATTGATTAAATGGGGGTCCAATGAGGACGCCAATTAGGTAGCAGAATGAAAAAGGATTTCCGGGAAGGAGTGGGCTAGCGAGGTTTTGGTCCCCCACCTGGGTGATGGGACACCTGTTTAGAATATCGGTCACTGCTGCTCATCCCTAGGGGAAGTGTGTGAATGTAGTAGTTCCTCTCTTTTGCATCCTGCCCTTCAGTCAATGTGCCCCAGTTGTCTTCTGTATTGACTCCTGGGAGGGCTGGAACCTGTCTAATTAGTTATATAACTAATATAATATATCCCACTAACTTAGCTGTCTACAATAAAATGTTGAGTCTTACAGAAAAAAAAATTAAATGAAAATTCAGGTCACACACAGTAATGGCAGAAATTGCAAAAGTGGTGTACAGAATGTTTGATCTGGAGGAAATGATTTTGGGGAGAGATGGGTAAATTGGGCACAGCCCCACAGGGCACCATAGGATTAGAAAGATAAATTCTGAATATGATCACAAGAACACAGGGGCAACATAAGATGTGTGATGAGAGAGATCAAAAAAGTGAGCGTCCCTTACAGCAAGTACTGAGAGGCGTCCAGAGGTGGCAGTGATGTGTGTTCCAGCCTAGCACTGAGAAGGGCACGGCAAGCAAGGCAATCCCCAGAGGGAAGAGACCGGGGAGAGAGTGTTACTTAGAGCTTAAACTTACTAGTTTTAAAAAATTGAATAGTGTACATTTACATGGTGGACAATTAAAGTCAGGATATACCTCTATCCTATGAAAAAATCTCATG